CCGAGCCAAGAATACAGTAATTTTTAACACAGTCTCACACAGAGGAAGGTGGTCCCTATCATAGTCTTTACTCCATGCTATGTGTGAACCAAGTATTTAAATCACTTAATGTTGACTTTCCCCTTGACTTATGCTCTCAAATCAGCATATACTGATAGATTTTGATAGGCAGCTCCTTCTAGTTATCACTTGTTCTAAATATTGACTGGATCTTTAAAAATCAAGATGCATCTTCTGTAACAACCTGGATGGAATTGGAGACCATTCTCCCAAGTGAAGTATAGGAATGGAAAAGCAATCATGGCATGTACACCGTGGCAGGTTCCTGTAGTCCCAGCTACTCAGGCGTCTGAGGCAAGAGGATCTCTTGAGCCCAAGAGTTTGAAGTTGCTGTGAGCTACAGTGACACCAGGGCACTCTGCCCAGCGCAACATTCTGAGACACAAACAAACAAACATACATCCCACGTACTCAGTACTAAATTGGAACTAGTAGATTAACACTTCCATGCTCACATGAGAGGAAATCTCAATGAAATTCAAGTCTGGGGGCAGGGGAAGGAGCTGGGTAAATTTCCACCCCGTGGGTGTGACATTGCGGGGGTCCACTGCACAGTTCCTGGGTGAAGAACACACCTACAACGCAGACTTTTATCTTAAAAAAGCAAGCTATCTAAGCTTATGTACCCCCATGTTGACCTGAAATTTTTAAAGATAATTTTAAAAATCCTATGAAATCATAAGCATTTTTAAAGTTGTCACTAGCTTCTGAAACGACATGAGCGTTAACAATTATGTGTGAGCTCATGGTAGAGAAGCAGAGATATAATGTTGTAAGATTTTGTTTTTTTTTTTATTGTTGGGGATTCACGGAGGGTGCACAGAACCAGGTTAGGCTGATTGCTTTTGTTAGATAAGGACCCTCTTATAATTGTGTCCCGCCCGATTATGAGCAACAACAAATGAATCAATGCCTCACTTTCACTCAAATGAATCTTTGAGCAACAGGAAAGCTTGGTACCAACAGAACAAAGCCATTCAGTGGCCCCATTTGCAAATAAGTCAGTTTGCCCTGAGGAGACAGAACACTAAAGCTTAAAGACAAGCCTGTTAAATACAAACTACTTTTCCTAGTTAAAAAAAAAAAAAAATCTATTAGTGCTAAAACAATTACATTAGTACAGCATCATCATTGTTTGCAACTGAAAAAAATGTTTTTAATTAATCTTATTGTGTCCTAACGCACTGTTAACTCAATAAGCATTTTCAAAATTGTCAACTTGACATTGAATTTATTGTTTTTCAACATAGTAGAGATGTTTTAAAATTCACCGAATGGAGTGGTAGAGTTTAAATACAAGTGCTTTGACAATCACAGGCATCTCGTAAGGGTTATTACCTATTGTTCAACATAAAGCCACGAACCAAGCTCTTAGCTGCCCTTGGGTAGGTCTATCTGCAAACTGGACCTCTTTTGCCTCTCCAAATTTCCTACACCCCATATCACTCTCCCCCTTTCCCAGTAAGCTCCAGCCACATTCACTTTCTTTTGGTTTCTCTCCTTCTCTAAGTTTTGAGACATCATCGCCACTGGAAAGCAAGTTCCATGAAAACTGAGAACTTATATGTTTTCTTCACTGTTTCACCAAAGTCCAGACTAAAACCTAACACACTGTAACTATTTCATAAACTTTAAACAAACAAATAAATAAAAGTCCAAAAGTATAAAGAAATCGAGAGAGGGAAGGAAGGAGGGAGAGAAGGAAGGAGGGAAGTCTTAGTTCACCCTCGCTAAGATCAAGTCCATGGCCAAGGCCAGTTTGTTAACATTTCCCTTGTCAGGCCATGATCACTATTACCAGCATGAAAGTTGTTGCTAGCACCTCACTTCCTATGCAGTTATGATTTTCATATCCACATGAAAGCGTTTTCATCTTTCATACTCCAACATCGGGAGTCCCTTCATAATTTACTATTCTGTGATAGATGCACCTGGACAGATGTTTGCCTTCAACATTTTATTTACATTTAACCATGTATTTCTGGTCTCACTTGCAAGCAAAACAGAAAATCTCCTTGTCAATTTCCTTTCTAGCTTTTGTAAAGAAGAAATTGGCAGCCTTGTCTCATGTTGATGCAAAGTTCTGCTTAATACATAAATTTAATAGAGGAGTATTCCTAAACAAACTTTGATCCCACTCTTGGAATGCATTTACAATGATAAAATTGCCCTGGTTTCTACAGATAATGGAACAAAATAGACGGCATAATGGGGGGTTAAGGTACAGAACTCTAGACTCAAACTAGGGGATCAAATTCTTGTCCAAATTACTAAACTCAATGGGGCATTTGACCCTTCTGAGGCTCCTTTTTCCTTTTTTTTGAGACAGAATCTCACTTTGTTGCCCTTGGTAGAGTGCAGTGGCATCATAGCTCACAGCAACCTCAAACTCTGGGGCTCAAGCAATTCTCTTCCCTCAGCCTCCCTAATAGCTGGGATTATAGGCACCCACCACAACACCTGGCTAGTTTTACAGACAGGGTCTCACTTCTGCTCAGGCTGGTCTCAAACCTGTGAGCTCAGCCAATCCGCCTGCCTCAGCCTCCCAAATGCTGGGATTACAGGCGTGAGTCACCATGCCTGGCCAAGGCTCCCTTTCTTCATCAAGCAAATGGAGAAAATCATAGTAGTGCTGATTAAAATAAGATATGTTTATAAAGAGGTTATCATGGAACGTTGCACATAGTTCTCGATAAACATAGAAAGTGCTTGTAGACGTAGAGAGAGCAAATTAGAACTAAAGGCAGAGTACCCTAATGCTAGCCAGGCACACCAGCACCTGACCTAGTGAATCTCTGATTGCTATCTGCTGAATGAATAGCTGCTCCCCGGTGCCAAGTGCCTTCCCGCCTCCTCTTCACCCATGGCTGTTCGGTTGTGCAACACTTCTTCCCACACGGATGCCCTGCGTTTTGGAGACTCTCTTTCCTTGAGCCTGGGATCGCCAGAACGGCATGCACACAACAAATGCTTCATTAGGGAAATGCCTCTGTGAGACTCTGATGCTAGTTCCCGCTCACGCCTTTCTCCATCGGCGCCCTCCACTTTAATCTTCGCACTGGCATTTCCGTTGAGAAAAGCCAACCAGGAATGACGGCTCCGGGCTGAGAATCTGGAATGCAGATTATAACTGCTGGGAGACTTCACTTGTTTTGTTTAAACTGGTTATGCTTCTTTTGCTCTCATTTCGCAAAAAATAGCTTCGGCTGCTAGATAGCAGGACATCTGCCGCTTCACACAGTCTTAGTTTCTGACAAGAAAAGTGAAGGGTGGAATGCCCGGCCATCACCAGCCGCTGATAAGCCAATGCTGAAATGCTTGTCCTCATTTGTTCTGGGGGGTTTCTGTAGATGAGAAGGCTATTGGGGATGCAACGTTCCAGCC